CAGTATGTACAAAAGGTACAGAAGAGTGTACAAGCTTTCATGTCTTTACTTTTTGAGGGTTTTAAGCCTCTGTATGCATCTCTACATGTTTTTGACCTCTCTAAATTGCTTTGCTGTACTGCTAATGCATGTATATGTGTATTTAGAACCATCCACATATTTTCCAAGCCCTGTAGAAGGCACAGAAAGATCTGTTTCTGATGCCCTACTCAAGTTTAAACACCATCAGATGCACAAGATGATGAGAAGGTCATGAAAGGTCCTCCAGATTAATATATATACTCCCATAGTGTACATCTATCTATTCTACTACTTGTCCTGATAGTTCTGCCAGAGGAGAAGCCAAAGGAGCATGTGGGATGGCCTGCATAGCTGAATTCCCATGATGGGTGCTTATATCTGGGAGTGCTACCATATATATCCACAAAAGAGCCAGCTCCCAGCTAGTATTTTGCAAATAGTAGGCCAAATATTGAGTTCTGACATATGTTGCGTATGGCAAATATGTTTCTACATATGTTCTGCATCTTTCCTGACATAAAACGAAAATAAGCGCCCGAAATGTTATATCATAGTATCTCCCAAGTATGGCATATGTTTTCTGGGCTGTTCTATGTCACGGGGCAGTATATTAGTTTATTGGGTTTGCAGAGTGTGGGAATCAGCTTCTGTGTTTAGCTATGCCATTTGCGGTGGCTCTCTGTGGAGCCTATTGCATCAAACCCACAAGGCCAACCTTAAGTTTGATGCTTCAAGCATGAGCCTATGACTCTACCATGGACGACCATCCGGGCGATGACGTGTCGACAGGGAACTCAGGCATCTCATACCGGTCAGGGTCAATGTACTCTGTTGGTTGTTCTAAGACTGGTGGGCATATTAATGCATAGCGACGTGCAGTTCAGACCCACAGAAAAAGATGTTAGGACATTGCTGTGTCCCTCAGACTCCCGACTTCAAATTAGTCGGAATATCAGCACCACTTCTGTACATCTGTTCTGGCTGCATGACTTCGTACAGTATGTATCTCCCTTGGGACAACTGATGCTCCCTCCCATGTCGTCGTTGTGTGTTGCTGAATATTGAATGGCGAAGCTCGCTTCCGACTCGGAAGTGCTCATTTACATGATAGCGATGTGCAGAAGAAAAATACTGCATCAATGCCCATGGGCCCTTGAGCACTGGTGCTCGTGCCGATTGCGTACAGTGCACGTCCGCTTCCCAACTGTCAGATATGTACAAGTTTTGTACCGGAGTTAGGAGGAACGTAATGCGCACCAGCGCAGCGGAAATAGCAGCTATCGTCTTTGGGCTCTCATCGCTCTCATTGGACATGCCAAGCTGGGAGGTTGCGGTGGCGATGACGGTTCAAACAAGGCCTCCCACTAGGACGATGCGGGTAGCAGTGTTCCATAGGTTATATGCAGCCTTATTGGTCCTAGGAGATAGCAGTTTCGGAACTCGTTCTCCCGCGCCGGTCTCACAAGTCAATGCGGTGGCGACGTTCTGTTACAACGTCTCTCGTGATCTCATTTCGGTTCGCTAAAATGCTGTCTTGGCAGGAGGGCCGCTCAGCGAATCTTATTCGTAAGACTGTGCTGCGCCGATGTGGTCGCGCACGCTCATCATCGCACGCCCTCTGAGTAGGATGATGAATCCCACGACGCCCACAGACAATACGTATGACATCAGCGGTGACACGGAAGTAGTATAAAAGACCAGCTTGCGAGCCTTCTGGGAGCCATACACAAGCACTCACAGCCGCCATGAAGATCCACCTCGCGTACACTGCTCCAATCAACCCCGCGGACGCGCCATTCAAGCTCACACGTGCGCAGGTCTGGGAGGGCCTGAAGATCAAGGCCCGCGACCCCCTCCGCTTCGTGCCCATCATCGAGCGGTGCGAGATCGTGGAGGAGCACGCGACGGGCCTCACGCGCATCGCGCAGTTCAAACCCGGCACTGGCCCGCCGGGCAAGGTCACCGAGGTCATCACCTTCGGGGACGACGTTCATGTACGGTTTCGCCTCCCAGATCTTCGTGCGCGGCCTCAGACTGACGTCTGGTTTACCCTGCAGGCAGAGTTCCAGATGGTCGACGTCGGGACCGTCATCTCGAACATCGTCTCGGACGGGGACGGCGAATCCGACCTCTATCTGACGTTCAACTTTGCCTGGAACTTCCCTGAGGTCCATCCAGGGTCTCCGGAGGAGAAGGCGAAGAGAGAACAAATGAAGGGCTCTGCCAAGGAGGCGGTGGTCATGTCGATTAAGGAAGTCCGCGAGTTGGTGCAGAAGGGGGAAATCAAGGCGTAACTTGAATATTTACTGGAAATAATGATAACAAGGAGAGCTTGGCAGCCGGAATCCCTGAGATGTCGCGTTGAGTCGCCAATATATCTACAATACGGCCCACACCGCCATACATTCCATGCAGCAAGGGGAGATGCACACTAAAGCAGGGTATATCTGTACATATATATCATGATAAGGAGTCCAAAACTCCTGACAGTCTGAAGTTTCTTGATGTGTGAGTTGTAGTTACGGACATATACTGCACGGAGTCTAGACGTAGATACGACGCTTCCAAGGATCCCAAGACTACAGCCAGCGCCATCAGCCGCAGAGGCGAGCGAGAGAAACCCAAGCGCACGCACGTTATGGAGGTCTCACAAATCCGTCTCTCTGTGTGTGTGCGTGCGCACATTACCGCCCGCGCAGCGAGCCCGACTTCTGGCCGGGCCCTCCTCCCTGCGCCTCCTCTGCGACACGCTGCCACCTGTCGATGAGCCTCGACACGCCCTGGTACGGCCGCTCGGGCGAGCCGCCGTCGCTATTCTGCCGCTGACGCACGGCCTCCTCCGGCGGCGGCGGCAGCGTCGTCTTGCGCTCGAACGACGGGCGCCCGCCCGCCCCGCTGCCAGTGCCAGTGCCACCACCGCCTCGCGCACCGTTGACCGGTTCGGGGGGCTTCGCAAGGCCCGGCAGCGGCCGCGGCGACGCGGCGCGGCCTGGACTCGGCGAGCGCCGTCCCTGGAGCGCCGCCCTCTTGCTCGGCTCGTCCTCGGGCACGAAGAGGCTGGTCTTGAGCAGCTGCGGCGACGGGGGAGGCGACAGCTGCGGGAAGCGCGTCGCGGCGACGGAGGGGGAGGGCAGGCCCGCGCTCGAAGACTCGGAGGCCGTCGCCTTCAGGCCCAGGGTCGCCGCCGGTGGTGGCTTGGTCGCGACGGCTGGAGGCCGGATAGCACCGTTGATGGCCTCGTAGCGCTGCACCATGTCCGAGATTGAGGTGCGTCTCGTCGTCCGGTGCTGGGTGTGAGGCTGGTCTTTTTCCTGCTGTTTTGATGCGGTCAAAGGCGGTGGTGCGTTGATTTCTAGCGGAGCGGTCTTGAGCACTGGGTTTATGAACATGGACTGCGGCCTGGCTCGGCTCGCTGAGACAGAAGAAGTCGAGATCGCCGAGGGGGTCGGTGCGGACGGAATGGGAGCGGTCTGAGGCAGCGCGCGAGTACTCGTGCCGGTCGTGAGTGTCGTCTGCTTGCGTGCCTGCTGAGCAGATGGCGGGCGCGCGATACGGCTAGTCGACGGTGCAGGAGAAGCAGCCATAGGAGTTGGAGAGACGATTGGCGGAGACGCGAGGGAGGAAGACGTGTGAGGGGAAGACGAAAGCGAGGAAGACGTGAGGGAAGACGACATGAGCGAGGACGACGTGAGGGAGGACGACGTCTTCGGGAAGCCCTGGTCAGAAGAGTACGACGGCTTCATCATCGACGACGACGTGACGATCGCGGACCGCCGCTTGTCCGCCCGCTTCGTCGGCGACGCGGCCCGCTGCTCCTGCTGCGTGCCGCCCCAGAGGTCGACGAGGTCGTGCACCGAGTTCTGCCGGCCCTTGCCCGCGTGGCGCCTCTGCCCGTGGTCCCTGCGCCCGCGTTCGCGCCCGTGCTCCGGCTCCAGCGCCGGCGCCGCCTCGCCCCGCAGCGCGTGGATTTCCTCGTCGATGCCGCCCCTCGGCACGTACCCATCGATGTCCTCCGGGCCCTCGTCGCTCGACGACGACGACATCGGCCGCGCCGGCGCACGCGCGCGCACTGGCGACGCGATGGGGCTCCAATTATCCGTCAGCCCGCTGTCCGCTGACGACAGTGGCGGCGGCGCCGTCCGCCTGCCCGTGCTCATGCCCGGCAGCGCCAGGCTGCCCGCCGGGGGCCCGCCCGCGCTCGTGCCCGTGCGCGTGACGAACGCCCCCGCGGGGGACTTCGTCGGCGACAGCCGCCGGCCCTTCTCCCCCGTCGGGAGCCGCTGCACGCCGCCTCCGAGCCGTGCGCGCGCCTTCTCCCTTTCCTTCTCCTTCTCTTTTTCCTCCTGGGCCCTCGCCCGCGCGGCCTCCTTCTCGCGCGCATGCGCTCTCACCGCCTCCTTCTGCCTCTCCCGCTCGCTCCTGCGCTCCGAGTGGCCCGCCGCGACGCCGACGCCACCGACGACGCCGACGACGCCCTCCTCCGCCGCCGCCTCGAGCGGCCTCTCGAGCGGCCCAGGGCTGCGCTCGACATACGACGCACGCTTGCTCGGGCTCTTGCGCAGCACAGGCTGCGATGTAGGCGCAGACGCTGCGGGTGCGAGTGCAGGCGGGGACGGGGACGGGCCACCCTCGTCGTCCGACGCGCCCGTGAGCCAGTCTTTCGGCGGCGTGGGCGGCTTGGGGCTCGGGCGCGGCGGGAGTGCGGGCGCGTGTTCGTTCTGTGCGTCGTCTTGCCTTGGCCTCTGCTGTTGCTGCTGCTGCACCTGCTGATGAGCCGACGAGACGTCGACGAGCGCGGGGCCCGCGTCGGACGGAGTCTGCTTGATGGAGAGTGAGCTTCGATGGCGGCGCTGCAGCGCCGGACGGGTGTGCCCCGAGACCGTGCCGGAGCGGCGGGGTCCGCCTCTGCCCGATTCTAGCGTGGCGGCTGCAGCGGCAGTGGCGGCGGCGGCGGCGGTAGCGGTAACGTCAGTAGCGGTCGGCGACCGGCCGTGGCCCAGCCTCGCGTCGCGCATCGCGGTGCCGGTGACCTGCTGGGAGCGCATCGCGGTGCCGGTGACCTGCTGGGAGCGCACGCCGTCGTACCTGCCCGCGCCACGGTCCGTCGCGGAAGCAGGGAGCCCGAGGAGGTTGCCGGTGCGCACCGCGCCGCCGCCGCCACCTCGCGAA